CGGCTGGCCTTCCGCCTTCTGTCCTGGTATCAATTGTTGTTCTACGGTTACCATAAGATCGAGAATGCCTCTGTAATTGGCTTTCTGCTTTCATAGCGAAATTAACCGCTTGGGATAATGACCATACCGAGTTCAACTCTAATTTATCTTGGAAGATATCACGTAATCCCCCAATATAACGGGCTACTAACTGATTTTCAGTCTCATGAAGGTTGTTCCGAGCGCTAAGCCTGTAGAACTCCACCGTGTAATCGGCAATCGTTCGACTTCCTTGGATGCAATGTTGATATTGTAGGTAGAGCATCTGCTCGTAGTCATTCGGCAGATAATGACCCCTCAACAATTGTTTCATACGAGGCCAGTTGCGAACAACTCCTCGCCCTTCGCGTCGCCGGGTTTGCAATACCTGCATCTACCAAGCGCTTGCCCCGCCTCGAAGTCTGCAGGCGACATACTTCACCTGTTTTTCAGGGGGAATCTCCATATAATCAAAAAACGTCTCCACCGCCCGCTCCCAGTCTAGATAGTCTTCAATGTGCAACTTTCCATCAAAGAATGGAATGTCCAATTTGACGCGGAAGTCACTTGGTTCGCGGTGATGCGTTTCCCATCGATTTTGAGCTTCAGTTGGCCTTCCTTGGTCATCTTCAGCGGAATCGGCATTATCATGCGGGAAGTTTTCATCTAACTCTTCTTCCGATCCAGATAAATCGGGAATCACCTGTCGGCCGCGGGGCGGATTCCTGATATTTCTCAAATTGTCTCTGGGTAATCGGAAGGGGATGTTCAAACGGGGATCGGGAATAGGGGTAGGGTAATCAGGCAACAACAGTGGTAATGGTGGTAGTCGATGACGCACTTCCACCGTGAATCTATGGAATGCGTCAATGAGTTCGGTCAGTTGTTTTGCGGTGCTGTGATGAGCAGCCCACAAAGCGTCCAGACTTCGATCTTCGTCGAAAGTCGAGCGTTTACTGCTTTCCGCCATCAATGCCGGACTCGGAATCTCTGGCTCTGATACCAAAATCCTGGTGCAGCGATCGGAAGAAGCAAACCTGCAAAGAAAAATAAGAACACAAGAGGAAGGAGGAAGAGGAACGAAGGAGAAGGGAAGCAATGGAACAGTAATTTCATATATAATTTTCTATTCTCAAACGTTCTCAGCTGCAGCTCATAATGCCTCTACTCAAAGTGAGCTTAAAACAGTAAAAAGCAAAAGTAATTCTAATTACTGGAAATAAATAAATGCTATAACAGAAATCTGTTATGAGGTAGTGGTTTTCCTCCCATCACGTGGCCACGTGGATATTCCACATGTGCGCTGCATCACTTCGTTTGGGTCTACAACATCAAGTTTAAAATTTTGTTTTAAAAAGCAATGAAAAAGTTGTCCTAAGATGTTTGGGACGACTTTCTTTTCGCTCAGTAAAACGACTTCCCAGTACATTTACCTAAGACGTTTGGGACGACTTTCTTTCCGCTTCTTAAAGCGGCTTCCTAGTACAAATATTAAATGTACTAGGAAGCCGCTTTACGAAGCATTAAGAAAGCCGTCCAAAATGAAACCTTAGTCTCTTGCACATAATAATTTTAAAATAATTTTTATTTACCCTTTGGATCACCAGCACAGTTTCTTTTGATTTATCCTTTGAATCATCATCACAAAGACTCATAGAGAAGAGTTAATAATAGCCATCTCAAAGAAATATAAGTATAGTTGATGAGACCTTTAGGGAAGAACATGTATTTTACCCTAGTGGGGCGCCTTAGGCTTCATTTGAGATGACTTTTTCATTGCTTCTTGAAGCAGCTTTTTAGTAAAAAAATATAATTTTTATACTAAAAAGCTGCTTCAAGAAACAGTAAAAAAGTCATCCCTAACAAAGCCTTAATAGGAATTTTTATTACGTCATCCCACCTGACGTAGAGATACGTCCTCCCAGAACTAAATTCGAGCTAAAAAATGAGAAATACCGAGCTAATACCGAGCAATACCAAATAATAACAAGGAATATCATCATGTGAAGACCAATACCGAGTTATACCAAGCTATACCGAGCAATACAAAAAAATACCTAGTTTTTATACCTAGTTTTTCCTAGAAAAAACTAGGTATTTTTTTGTATTGCTCGGTATAGCTTGGTATAACTCGGTATTGGTCTTCACATGATGATATTCCTCGTTATTATCAAATAATACCTAGCAATACCGAGCAAAAACCGAGTTTTTTGGCGGTGGGAGAACGTATCTCTACGTCAGGTGGGAGGACGCAATAAAGAGAGGGGGTGGGGCACATAAGCAGCACCATGAAAAGTTGGCCACTCTTGGCAAGTTTTTTAATTGAGTGGTCGATATTTGTGAATGGATGGTCTTGACAAATTAGTAATTCATAGATTCCTTCACGTGATTTTTATAATGCACGCTTTTATAATAAATATAATTCTTAATGATCTAAATAGGACCTGATAATAATTATTGAACTTATTGGTATTTAGAGGATTGGAAAAGATAATTAAAAATTAAATTTGGAAAGAAATTTGATAATGGCATATGTGCCGTTGAGAGCACTAAGGTGCTTTGCTCTTTATATGATAGAAGAAAAATTGAAGTGCTTAGGCTTAGCTCTTTATATGACAGAGTGGACTGTAGTCAGCGGGCATCGGGGGTCGGAGTGGACTATAGTCGATGGACGACGGAGGTCCGAGGGATCATAGTCTGGGGGCTGTAGTGGTCGGAGGGATCGTAGAGGGTGACGGAGGTTCGAGTGGATGGTAGTTAACTGGCCACGATGGCCAGAGTGGATCGTAATCAGTGGAGTGATGAATTGGAGCGATGAAGGTCGTAGTGGACTGTAGTCGGCAGGCGACGGTGGTTCGATGGACCATAATCGGTGAGCTTTATAGGTCGAAGGGACCGTAAGTGGATAACAGAGGTCCAAGTGGACCGTAGTCTGTGAACCGTAGTCTGCGGGTGACAGTTGTCAGTGTGGACCATAGTTGACTGACAACGGTGGTCGAAGTTGATCATAGCTCGCGGGCAACAGAGGTCGAGTAGATTGTAGTCTTTATGTTTAAAATGTTTGCATCAAGATTCGTGCCCAATCAAGATAATTTTTGATGACATATCAATCTTAAATTGTTTATCATTTTAAAATAATAAGTTCAAATATATTTTCTTAACTATCTATCTCAAGTCTAAATAAAAAAAATTAAAGAGCATATTTAAAAAATTAATTTATCCCCTAATAGAATAAATCTTTGCCTTGGCACTATGGGGCTGTTTGGTTGCCTGCAAAGTAAACGTAATGTAAAGTAAATGCAGTGTAAAATAAATGTAGTGCATTCCAAATACATTGAGGTTGTTTGGTTGTCTGCAAAGTAAACGCAGGAGAAATATTTCCCTTGTTTGGTTAGGAAGATCCAGAGTAAAGTAAAAGTTATTTTTTTTTTTAATAATTTGATAGAAACCATGGACATTCATGCAACCATCTCTTAGTATTTTCATCAAAACCTCTAAAAAATTTTCTATTCTATTTGAGGCAGCTATAACTTTAATAAAGATGACTATAAAACTACTATGATAAAAGTAACTTTTAAAAAATAATTTACTATTACTAAGACTTCATTTAGGACTACTTTTTATTATTTTTTAGTATAAAAATTATAATTTATATAATTTTTATATATAACAGAGCAATAACAGAGCAAAACAGAGACTCCGATGCATCAAACATAATGCTCTTTTTTCTTTAAATTTTTCTAAACAATTGTAATAAATATCAAGGGATTTTGAATAAAAACAGAATCATTGAGGAATTTTGTTAAAAAAATTTATCATTAGAATTCACTGGGTTTTTCCATGCCTCAAAGAAGAACTTTAATTACCCATCGCCAGGATTCTATTTGTTTGGTTTTTTTTAATTATTGAGCCCGCAATATCTCTGCAGAGAAGTGGCAGGGAGAAGATAGTCGAGAGTAATAGTAAATTATAATTTTTATAGAGAGAATGACCGCCGCCATATCAATCCCGCGAATCGGCTTTTCTTCCGGATTCCGATCATTTATCTTCCGCAGAATAGGAATAATCAGCTTTTGAATAAGCCAGGCTTGTACCGCGATGAAGAGGATTCGAAAAGCGGCGTTAATGGCGGATAAGCTGATTCGGCCGAAGAGGGCGACGATGTAGCAAATTAGGGAAGTGCAGAGTAGATCGTCGGCAATGGCGGTGCGGACGGCGAGGAATCCGATTTCGGATTTGTGGATTTTGAGTTCGGCGACGAGGCGGGTGATGATTGGGGAGGAGGAGACGGCGATGGAGATGGACGGAGCTGTGCGGTTGATGACGGTGAAGGAGAAGAGGATTCTGGCGACGGCGGAGATGACGTCGGTGACGGCGATTCTGATGTGATCGCCGGAGCAGCCGAGGATTGTTTTGGGATTTCGAGGGCGACGACGAAGAGGTAGAAAGCGAAGGCGATTGAGCTGATGTGGGCAATCGACTTCGTTCATCCGCGCGAGAGCGACGGTCTGTGCTCCTTCCTTTCCTTCGTTGCTGTTCGACTTCGGCTCGCTGTTCGACTTCGCTCTTCGCAGGATGGCACCAGGCGAAGAATTTCAAACCCGCTCATTTTGAGCGACTTTCAAAGTCGCGGGATCGGCCTCTCGAAATACACCCCTAATACATTTGAGTTTTTTGTTTTGTTCCGCTCAAAATTAACCAAACAGAAGAATTTAGTAAATACATGTATTTATTTTACTTTACCCTCCTAATTCAGGCAACCAAACAGCCCCTATATACATTATAATTCACTTGAATATGATGAAGTATCTATCATTAATATACATGAACATTCTAGATACACATATAAAAATTTATATTTTAGCTATATAAATACATGAAAAAAAAAAAAAAATCATTACATACCGGGGTCTTGCCTCTTCGGCGCCGCCGGTTGCCGGTTCAAGTGAGCCGTTTATTTTGGCATCGATTGCGGTAGTGTCGTGAGAGAACAACACCGCCTCCTCCTCACCTGAGATATTTGTCTCCCGCTTCTGTTTTGGTTTTGTTCTTTGGTCTTTCTCCTGGGTTCCAGGTCTGCTACCTGCACTTCCCTCTTCACGTCCCCCTTTCCCGCCAAACCCTAATTCGATGCTCTGGATGATGGATTGATCGTACTATAGGGGCGTGGCGTTGGAGTGAAAATGGTGGAGAGACGGAAGCCTCTCATATTGTCCTCCACAAGAGATCTTCTCGATTCTGTACTCTTTTCGGCGAATTCGAGTGCCGAAGGGAACGATGGGAGAGTGACCGCTTGGAGGCGCCCATCACTGCACCTGAAGGCGGGAATCCTCAGGTTTTCCGGTGATGGCACAGGAGGAAGCGAGCTTCATGAGTGCGTGCATCTGGTGGGGGTATCTTCATCGGTGCTTAAAAGACTCTGTGTGACCTCTGGTTCAGTGGTAAGTATTTGTTTTCTGAAGTTTTTTAGTGTTGGAAAGTGGTTTTGAGACGAAAAGAAGGGAATTATTTATTTTATTCCGTGTTTCTCTTTGTAAAAATGATGATGCAACGATCAATCAAATTCGAAAAGAAAAAGAGAAATTTGAAACTTAAAAACATCAATGAGCTAACGATTTTTTTCGTTGCAATAGAGAACTCTTGTTGTGGCTAATTTGATCAAATTTAGGACACTTGAAATATCAATACCAAATCTTTGATAATAGAATTGATTAAGAAAAGAATTTATCAAAGTGAAGAAATTTCTTGCTCACCTAAGTATAAAGATATATATTACCTGGAAGTTATCTTTCACACTTGCACCACATTTGAAGGAATCCCACATCTTCCTAGATTAAAAAAATGTATCGAACTGAATTATATTAATGCATGATGCACCTTGAGCCATCTAATCAAACATAATTGATTAATCTCCAGTTGAATATAAGTCATGATTTTTACTATCTCATCTAAAATCAAACTAAACTGTGCCTAACTGAACCAAAAATCCGATTTAAATCGAACTAAAGCTGAACGGAACTGTTTGGTCCGGTTTCATTTTTTAAGTTTTGGTTTTGATTTCCACCATTGATTTTTGGTTTGATTTAAAACCATGGTAGGTTTAATGCCAAATAGAAATATCTCCTGCCCTTCATATATCTTTTATATTCTTTTTATCATTCAATTTTTATTAGTTTTCGTTAAGATTTTGTACTCCAAATCTTGCATGTTGATTAAGCTATATTGGGTTACATGGTACTCCTCTTCAAGGCTTGCATGGTACTACTAATTTTAATATTTCAAATAATCAATATTTTACATTTGTGGTAGGATAAAAGCAAGAAGAAGTATTGATTCTTTATTTCAAGATTTCGATTGTGGGGATATTTTTTGATATGCTTCAAATCTTATAAACATATTTAGGTTCTCATAAAGAACGCTGATACCCATGTTGGAAGGCTCGTGAAAGTTTTAGCTCTTGATCATCCAGTTTTAGATTCCATACAAAAAGAATATAGAACTTCTACCATTATTCCTTCTTCACAGCACGTAATGCGGGTTTTACCTTCAATTGAGTATACTGCTAATCACATAGTAACATTTGATGTGGAAGTTGCTTATGTCACTCCACTATTAGCATTCAACCTTGGATTGCATGTTTCATCCCTTAAAGTTCTTCTTCATGGAGGTCAAGAATCTTTGAAGTCTCTTTTTGAGGTTGAAGAGATGGAAACAGTGCAGGAAAAGAGGAATGAAAATGTGAATGTTGTTCTTGTCTCATGGACTAATTTGCCTAGATATGCTTCACATCTAAGAATTTCTTTCATAAAGATGCCTCAGTGTGGTATGCTTGAATCTCTCAAGGGAAATTCTAAAATTGAGGCTGATGATCGCCAAGATTTGATTGATTCAGCTTTGAATGATTACTTCAAGGTGGATAGGTATTTAACAAAAGGAGATGTTTTCTGCGTTCAAATAGACTGGAGTTGCAATTCAGAAATGTGCACTGTTTGTGACAAAAACTCTACAAAACATTCCAATAATTTGATATACTTCAAGGTAAGATATCCATTTTCTTCTTCATAATCTTCAGCAAGGCAAGGAATTATAGAACAGCTGTTTCTTTTGAATTTTTACGTGTTGAAGGTGTGTTCTCCTTTTCAGGTGGTGGCATTGGAACCATTAGATGAGCCAACCCTTCGTGTTAATCGCAACGGTACAGCTCTTATTCTTGGAGGAAGTGTGGAATCTGCTATTCCTCCAGATTTCTTTATTGGAACTTCTAGAAATTGTATGCCCTTGCAGGGTGATACAGTGAAAAACTTGGCATCCATTATTGCACCTGTCATATGCCCTTCTGTGCTGTCATCAAAATTTAGAGTTGCCATACTCTTACACGGTCCCGCAGGTTCGTCTACGTTTGCTATTTTAATTTTGACTGTCAATTTTAATTTTACTTGCATGAGTGGTAAGTTCAGCTATGTGCATAGGGCGTGGAAAACGAACTGTTGTTAGATATCTTGCTGGCCGGTTTGGCATGCATATTGTGGAGTACAGTTGCCATGATCTCACAGCATCATCTGAGAGGAAAGCTGCTACGGCACTTATTAATGCCTTTAAAACTGCTCTTAGGTATTGCTGAATGATTAGATTTGTTATCCATCTCTTTTCTTATTCAATGTTGTTTTCATCTTTCTTTAGTGTAACAAACTATGGTTGTTTTATCATGAATTGTCTTTATGACCTGCATCTCTCCAATGACTTCATGATGTAGTATGTCTTAGGTTCTAAGATTGTGCTAGACCGGTCCACTGGACCGGTCTTGCCGGTCCATATGCAACCGGCTTGCGAAACAGGGCGGGATCTCCGCCTCCTGCGGAGATTGGGCGATCCAAACGCCCAAGCGGAGAGATTTAGGAAAGTTTTTTGAGGGATTTGGGAGGAAAATTTGAATGTAGGGACTGTTTAGAGATTTCCTTTTGAATTGTATGTATTAAATAATTTGTTTTCCTAGGGTTAGGGCATCTTGAATTTGGCTGAAATTTAAGATCACTTAGATCCAGGTTTTCTTTGGGCTCTAACCGCGTCTAGAGATTTGGGAGAGATAGATCATCCTCTCGAATAGAGGATCAATTGTATCTTGCTGTTTTTTCTTCTTCTACTATTGAATTTCAAGTGCTTTCTTCCTGATTTTCCCACTGGTTTGGAGAAAAACTGTTGTTTACAGCAGGAATTCTGGCAAAAAACTGCTGTTGACAGCAGAATTTCAGCCTGTTATCACCTATTTGGGGCTGTTTCCTATCAGATTGTTAATTCTGGTTTCATATTGTATTTGGAAACTAATAATATGGTATTCTGGTTTAATATGGTATTAATTCAAAGCAGTTATTGACTATTTTTGATGAAAAAATGATAAAATTCGATTGAAAAGAAATTTTTATGATGTTCCACTAAAAATTAATTACTATAATTGAGGATAAAAAATGCCATACACACTATTAAAACCTCATAAAAAATTCAGTCTAGATTGTATTGAATTCAACAAATATAGACTCCCTTTCAACCAATAATGGAAAAAATGTAGGAGCAAAAGTCAAAAGATGGAAGAAGGGAAATATGTCATTAGAAAAGCATGCTTCGTGCCTTTCCCAAAATCTGATCAATGATTGAAATCTCTGATTAAATGAAGAGAAACAGTCTCCACATCCACACAGAATTTTACCTACGCCACAGTTTATCATAAATGGCTTGGAATTTTTATATAACAATTTGTAAGAAATTGCTCAAAAAATTTTCAATAAACTGTCTAAAAAGTTAGGCTTTGTTGATGTCTTCTTTCTACTTGCTTTATGGTAGGAACCATAATTTAAAAAAAAAGGTCTATTTGGATGATTTTTATTAGAACCCTGGATTAAAGCCTCCAACGGCTAACTGATTTAGTATCCAATAAGAACATTACGCGTGTACCAGTATTGTCTATATATTAGCTTGTACCTAGGCTGAGTCAGATAATAAAACATAATAACATTTCTTGGTCTCTGTTCCTTCTTCTTCCTCAGCTCCGGCGTCTCTTCTTGCCGGAGTTATCTCCTCTCCGTTTCTACAATTTTAACCTTTATATGTGATCCGTAAGTCATCATAATGATTGTGATGAAAATGGGTTCAAGTAGATATATGGTTGCTAGAAATCAAACCAAAGTGGCCAATTTATGTGAAAAGAATCATGAATTCATTACCGATTTTGCTAAATGGGCCATCTTGATACAAAATAGTCCAGAAAACTCCTCACTGTTCGAGCTGTACTTTAAAAATGATCAGCACGAGACGAATTTAGGATAAATTTACGAGCTCAGACACTCATATGATTAAAAAAATTAAATACAAAGTATAATTAGAAATTATATAGAAGGGATTGCGCATGATTTAATGATTTCAGATTTCTAAATGTTGTTTTTAGTATAAAATTATTGATTTTTCATTTGTATTAATTATTATTATTATTTTGTTTTTATAAAAATTAATAAATAGTTTTTTTATGATTTGTGAATTTATGCTTTGCATAAGCATCTTATTGTAGATCTGTGACTTCTGTGTTAGCAAACATAGACTTGCAAGGTCCTGCATGCCTTTTTGTTTTTTTGATTTCTTGCTGACAAATGCTGAATTTCTAAGTGTCTTTTTTTTAATCATTTTCTCTATGTTTGTTCGCGTGTTAACCATAATATTTTGGACGTGTATTTAGTTTCATATTTGAATTTTTTATTATTTTTGAATGAAACAATTTATTATTAGGTATTCACCTTGCATACTTCTTCTTCGCTCGTTTGATATGTTTGGGAACTCATCTGCTAATGATGGTTCAGCATTGGATCAAGTTGCCATTACATCCGAAGTTGCATCAGTTATTAGGGATTTTACTGAACCTTCGCTTGAAGATGAAATCTTGCACCCAAGGCAAATGAATGTTGGTGGTTTGGTACGAAACTTCTAGTCAAAATTCAATGATAATATTTTCATTACAGATTTTTAGCTCTTTTTATCGTTTATCACTACAGTTTTGTTAATTCGTCATCAGTAATTGCCCTTTCTTTTTTTTTTTGGCATTTCACAAATCAGTATTTAGTGGAACCTGAAAAAGTTAGCAGGAAGGGTGTCTTGTTGGTTGCAGCTGCTGACCGCATCGAAAGTCTTCAACCTGCTATCAGGCGATGCTTTAGCCATGAGATTAGCATGGCTTCTCTGAGTGAAGCGCAGCGCTTTGAAATGCTGTTTCAAGCACTTAAAGGTATTAATACTGCAAATAATGAGGTATGGAAGGTAATGTTCTCCCATCCTGTTTTTACGGAGCTTCCTGCATTCAGGTTTAATAGCAAAATTTTACTTGCAGAACATCACTCGAGAATTTTTGAAATACATAGCTGAACAGACATCTGGTTTTATGCCGCGGGACATAAATGCTTTAGTTGCTGATGCTAGCGCCGGAGTTATAGAGAGGATACTAAATGGTGGCAGCAATTATAATGTTGAAAATGGAAATTGTGTCCCATTTGCCAAGGATGAAGGAGGCTCTCGGACATGCTCACTTGAGCATTTGGGCAAAGAAGATTTCTCCAAAGCTTTAGAACGCTCTAAAAAAAGAAATGCTTCCGCTCTTGGTACTCCTAAGGTGAGCCAACATTAAGGCTAGAGTATGCTTTGTGACGCTTTGTCTCAGGTCAATGGGGCATTATCTCCATATATATTGTGTTAGTAAATGACGTGTGATTATCAATCCCTTGCTGATCCTTTTGTTTTCCATAAGTAACTGTGTATATCAGTTATTCTAATGTATAAATTTGCCTGTTTGAATGATATAAATCATGTACCACTTATGCTAAAGCCTATTCTTGTAGTTTACTGCACAGTAACTAGATTTGCTGGTCACATTTAAGTTTCTAAGTTTACACTCCTATCTCAGGTGCCTAATGTAAAGTGGGAAGATGTAGGTGGCCTTGAGGAAGTGAAGAGGTCGATTCTCGACACTGTTCAGGTTAAGTTTTCTAATTGTTCTCCCTTCTCTCCTTTTTGCAATTGATTGATCACTTTTTAAAAAACACAGCAGGTTTGCAAACAGATTGATGCAGAATAGTTACATAAATTACCATGATTGTTTCCGTTTTAATTAATATGGCAGGAGTTGGGATAGTTATTTCTTCCTCTAGCAAAATGAATCAAAATTTTGGCATAATCAAAGTTCTCATATAAACAAATAATTGTAATCTGATGATTGGATTTGTAATACATTCTTAGTGATTTTGCAAATTTAGATTGGTTAAAGAAACTGTAATATTTGTAATGGTTAAAGAAACTGTAATGTAAAACCTAAATTTTTCGAATATTATAATATCCTTTTAAATTCTTTTGCTATGAAAAGCTTGCATGACAAAAGAAATCAAAATTCTTTTATTTATTATGCTCCTGAAAGAGTTAGGAGGGTTCACGGTGGATTGTAGTGGAGCTCTCATGCACAATAATTCAGATGTCTGTGACTCGGTTGCTTTCCATAATTATTAATGTTATTATTGATGCTCAGTGCAGTTGCCTCTTATTCATAAGGATTTATTCTCTTCTGGATTACGCAAACGGTCAGGTGTTCTTCTTTATGGACCTCCAGGAACAGGAAAGGTCTGCAAATCTATCTAAGTGGCTAGAATGATGTAGAAGTAGCCTGTGTTTAAATTTTGGGATTTTCTATAAATTTGCACTGTGTATCCTCCTACTTGTGACGATGGAAATTATGAGTAAAACTGATACCTTTTCGGTATTTTCAGACTCTGCTAGCAAAAGCTGTTGCAACTGAATGTTCCTTGAATTTTCTTAGTGTGAAAGGGCCAGAGTTGATTAACATGTACATAGGAGAATCCGAAAAAAATGTTCGAGACATATTCCAGAAGGTATTTTGCTATAGAATGCACAAAAAAATGGAATTGTCATCATTGCATACTTATATTACATATGAAATTTAATTATCTACAGGCAAGGTCAGCACGCCCTTGTGTCATTTTCTTTGATGAGCTAGATTCTCTTGCTCCTGCCAGGGGAGCATCTGGTGATTCAGGTGGTGTTATGGATCGAGTTGTTTCTCAGGTGATTATTATTTTTGTTTATTGTAGATGCCATCTGATTGATGCTTTCATGTTTAGCTTTATCAATTTTTTTTTTATTGATGTTTATTATTGGTAGATGCTTGCAGAAATCGATGGCCTTAGTGATTCCAGTCAGGTACTTTCAGTTCCTTGAATAGACTTCTTTTTTTCGGTAGCAAATATAAAATGCCTTGTTTTTTTATGCTTAGTTGCTTTTCAAAATTCCTGCAAAGGTTTGATTTAGTATAGGTGCTAGCAATGGACCTAACCCTTTTTTTCAAATTTCTTGCCAAACATCAGGATCTGTTTATTATAGGTGCAAGCAATAGACCTGACCTTATTGATCCAGCACTTCTACGACCAGGCCGATTTGACAAACTTCTCTATGTTGGAGTGAACTCTGACGCTTCTTATAGAGAAAGGTTTACAATTCCTGAATCAGAATTTATTCCTTGTCCTTTGCAAGACAATTAACATTAACTGGTTTGTTCAAATGTGTCAAAACATTGCAGGGTTCTTATAGCCTTGACACGAAAATTCAAACTACATGATAGTGTATCTTTGCTTTATATTGCTAAGAGATGCCCTCCAAATTTTACTGGTGCAGACATGTATGCTTTGTGCGCGGATGCATGGTTTCATGCTGCAAAGCGGAAGGTATGATAACTGATTTTCTAACATCTTTGGCTTTGGATTTTTTTTTTGAAGGATATTTAGTAATAATTTTCACTTATAGTTTTACAATTATAAGGTAATCAGCTATTACTCTTGATAGAAGCAGCTTGATTTCAATTGGTTGCATTTGTCCATTATAAACCCATTTTTCCGAATCTAGCAAACTTAGCAAATGAACAGCCTTCCCCGTTCATTTGTAGAGAATAGGGTTATCCTTCGAAGAGCTAAAGAAGGAAGTTATTCTTATTATACACATTTGTGTCTCGGGTATAGATAAATGTTTGAGTATCTAGCTTTTGAAGAAGCTATGCTGTAGGGAGATCTAGCTTTTGCGGGTAGCGCACCTGGGCGATGCTAAGTGACAAGGATAATAAGTTACATGTATGAGGAACATGAGATTCACTTGACCCTTACTAAAATCAAGTAAAACTGAATTATTATCTATTATTCTGCAAATCTATTATTTATCACTATTTATCTTTTAAGTTTAATACAAATTTGAAACTGTTTCTCCTAGGGACTCCAGCCTTATCACAGCATTCTATACGCTATGTACGTACCCCCCATTTTCCTTGAAAGCCATACCTTAGCGGTTGGAAAAGTTTAAATCGGATAACTTTTGCAATGTACTTGATTTCCAGGAAATTTGTCTAGCTTTAGCCACCCAACACTAACTCCGACTTTCTCAATGTAAAAATATGACATTGCACATGTACAACAAGTGCATGTGTAGAATAAACGATAAGTATTATATACTAGTCCTTTTCATTGATTTAGAGAATGCTTGCATTGTGGTTCTGTAAAAAAAAGGCCGATTAAAGAGAACTTTAAATCTATTACTTGTATTTGATAGCGTTTTGTTCAGTGAATGCTTAAATTGAACAGTTATATTACTTGTTGATTGTTCATAAAGTGTCCAAAAATGATATCGCAAGACAACCTAGAAAAAATGGTCAAGTACTTGCCTATAAATTTTTTTTTTTTTAAAGTATCCTAAAACTGACTTTTAAAATAGCATCTTACTTTTTATTTCCGTAAGATGCCATAGTTTGGAGAGAGTTGTCTTAGATGATTTGGTCACATAAAATGATGGCCTTTCGATGACCCGATTAGGAAAATAGAGGTATTAGATTTGACTTATGTTAAGAAAGGTAGAGGTGGACCTAAAAAAACTTGGTTAGAAAATATTAGAAATGTTCTTTCTTTATTAGATTTAAATGAGAATTTGACTTTTAACATGACACAATGAAGAAAAAGGATTCATATAGCCAACCCCACGTAGTGAGACAAAGGCTTGATTATGTTGTTGTTGTTGTATGATTCCATAGTTTATTTGGCCTTAAAAAATTTATTTTTTTCATGTTAAAGTTAGTGTGGTTCTTCGTCTTTGTGAACCTGTTTGTCATTCGCAATACTTCGACTTTATCTCTTAATGTGATCACGTCCTTCACAATTCACAATTATTTTGTTATTTATCTGGGCCATTTCTTAGGTGAATCTCTTGATAATTGTTTTTCTGACTTTGAAAATATCCTTCATTCTTCTTTAGGCTTCTCACAATCTGCAAGAAACAACTATTATAGATGAAGCCGAATCGGTCACTGTTGAGTTGGACGATTTTATGAAGGTATGCTTCAAATTCATAAGCACACTTTTATGATATGGGTAGAATTTGCAGCTTTTGGTAAGCATATGGAGGTGCCGTTCTGCTCACCTTTTGGTAGCTTATTGGCAGGTCCTGGGTGAGTTATCGCCATCATTATCAATGGCAGAACTGAAAAAATATGAACAGTTGCGGGATCAGTTTGAAGGCTCTTTGAAATAGGAGGAAATCAGATCATGGTAATTATTCAAACTGTTATACCTTGGCTGAGGCCTCATAGTAAAGAGTCAAAGTTCGTTAGCATAAAATTTATAGTAATGTAATTTATTTCAAAATGAGTGTGATAAATGATAAATCAACTAAAATTTGTATAATATATATATATTTCAAATTCCAGACTGAAAGATGAGAATTCTTAGTTTATCTAAGCCTTCAAACACAATAGATTTTCCCCTTAATACTGTAATTTGCATAAAAAAATTATCCTATGAGAAATTATCTATTGAATAATTAGATTGATTATATTACAAAATTGGGGCAATGGCATAAGTTATAGATCGGCTAACATTTAAGTCATTTTAAAAAAATTAAATTAAATATGTAAATCAATTAGTATAAGATTATAATCGTTTTGCCTATGTTAGAAACATTTTTTATCTTATAAAAACAATTATATTTAAACCATAGAGATTGTGCTCTTATAAAGTTAAAAAAGATTGTATAAATCCCTATAAAAACTAATCTGTAGCTAAAAAATTCCATATTACTCAAAGTTAACAAGTAAGAATAATTGATATATTTTAGAAAATTTGTGATGATAGAGATTGAATTTTAAGGTCTTAATTTTTTCAGGAAGATTCAACTCGCACAAATGATAAAAAATGCAAAAGAAAATAAAATTTTTATGCGAAAGTTTTGACAATGAAAAAAAGAATCACGAGCCCTGGACCAAATGAAGTGATCCAATATATAAATGGATTATAAGAGTTGATATATAATCAAAAAAATTATCTTGATCAAGCACGAATCTTGAAGCAAAATAAAGTTGGAAGCTTCAAGAATTAAAATTGAGACCATCTGAACTCTTATTTATGCAAACTTATAGCCAAACTAAGCGTCTCGAAAACACGGACCCTACGACACCAAAATTGATCCAATCCGAGTCCAAATGAGTCAAAATCAAAGACTCGAAGCACTTTTGGAAGGATCAAACCACAATTTGGGTAACCAAACGGTCTCAAATTGTGACATGCTTATAGTCGAATCGAGCGGCTCGACGAGAAAAATCGAATGAGCCGAAGATCATCAAATTCTGATATCATTAAGACAATCAAAGGTCCATTGAACGGCGCATCATCGTAGGAATCAAGATCGGTCGTCCATCCGAACCACTCCCACTTTACCCTTGATCTTCCACTTTATTTATAAGTCATGTCCACTCAAGAATTATATAAATATGCCGCCATATTTCTTTTACACCAACCATTATTGTTCTGTCGCACCACCGCCAGGTTCTGTAAAACCACCACCTGTCCATCCAAAGACATCGAAGTGCCAACCGAAGCTGAAGTGCCCCATAACGCTGAAGTGCCACTACTGGATCACCTTCTGACACCGGATTGCTGTCGGACCATCACCTGAAGCCTACACTTCTGCCAAACTACCACCTGACACCCAAAATTCTGTTGTAGTACCACCCTACTACTACGGTCTTTCTAACCACGGTCTCCTGCCAATTACGATCTTTCTAACCCTAGTCTCTTGCAGACTACGGTCCTTCCGACTTTTGTCGCCTACTATAGTCCGAGCTTCGTCCTGGACGATCTCAGCTCTGGAGAACTTCGTCCAGACGAGATTTAATTATCGTCCCCGGCGACGGGTTCTCTGGAAAATTTTCGTCCAGACGATCCAACATTTCGTCCAGACGAACCATACAGACAGAACAGTTTTCCTTGAACAACCTGTACCGATCGTCCCGGACGATCCAACTTCGTCCTGGATGAACCTTGAGCAAAATTGATATTACACCAGTGTCCTGCCGACTACTGTCCTTCCGACCTCCCTCGGAAAGGAAGAGAAGGAAGAAGGATTCAGCCGCCTAGCTCCTCCTCGACCACCGCCGAATTTCTTTTGCACCACCATTAGAGTTCTTCCGCACCACCGTCAGGTTCTGTCAAGCCACCACTTGACAATCCAAAGACGTCGAAGTGCCAACCGAAGCTGAAGTGCCCTATAATGTTGAAGTGACACTACTGGAACACCGTCTTGCTGTCGGACCATCACCTGAGGCCCGGACTTCTGCCGGACCACCACTTGATACCCAGAATTCTGTTGGAGTACCGCCCTACTACTACGATCTTTCTGACCCCGGTCTTCTGCCAACTACGATCTTTCTGACCCCAGTCTACTGCAGACTACGGTCCTTCCGACCTTTGTCGCCTACTATAATTCTTCTGACCTCCCTCGCTAGATAATCGTCTTTCTGACCACAGTCTCCTGCCGACGACGGTCCTTCCGACCTCCCTCGCCAGACAACGGTCTTTTTGACCCCATTCTCCTGCAGACTACGGTCCTTTCGACCTCCCTTGCTTACTATGGTCCTTCTGACCACCTCGCCAGACAACGGTCTTTCTGACCCCAGTCTCCTGCCGGCTACGGTTCTTCCAACCCCCCTCGCCAGACAATGATCTTTCTGATCCCAGTCTCATGCCGACTACGTCCTTCCTACATTCGTCGCCTACTATGGTCCTTTTGACCTCCCTCGCCAGCCAACTGTCTTTCTGACCTCAGTCTCCTGCCGACTACGGTCCTTCTGACCTCCCTTCCTAGACAACGGTCTTTCCCAGTCTCTTACCGACTACGGTCCTTCCGACCTTCGTCGCCTACTATGGCGACCTCCTCGCCAACTATGGTCTTTTTGACCTCGGTCTTCTGCCGACTATGGTCCTTTTTACCTCTCTCACCAGACAACGGTCTTTCTAACCCCTATCTTCTGCCGACTACGGTCCATTCAACACTTCCATCGCCTACTATGGTCTTTTCGACATCTGTCCTATCAACTATGGTCCTACAAACCAAACAAACATGTCTATGATGATTATTGTAACTCCCACCATGTAATGCGTTCTATATGATGTGCATTTGTGACATCAAGCCAAGGCCTTCTCCCAAGGAAGGGCCTCATTTGCCATCAATTGCAAATACTAGTGGATTCCTTCAAATTGGGTCAGGCCCCGTGATTTTTCCCAATTTTTAGGGGTTTCCACGTAAAAACCCTGGTATCTCTTATAAATGTTGCACCCTCTCTCTTTCATCTGCCTGTATGTTGAATCTTCGTATAACACCAAGACGTTAAACTACATACTTCTCTGCCGCGACGAATATTCCAGGACGCAACAAGAGTATTCTTCCCATTTGATGAAAAAAATTTGTTGGAATAAATTTTCCCATGATTTTGACCTCTGAGAGTTTTAAAATATTGCATCAATATTTATGTGAATTTCTTTAACGAATATCAACAATCTATAGGAACCCAAGTCTTTGACCCCGACTACTAAAATATTTGATCTATTGAACGCACGATAGTTAGGTTAGGTTTAGGTATGGATTAAGGCCAATATTAGATAAGCATTGGATAATTCATAATTTAGTTATGAATTAATGCCGTCCAGATGTTCATCAAATTTGCGTTTACAAGCTATTCTAAATTTTATTTATATATATTTTTAACTGCCCAACTTACAGAAAGATTATTCTGTGCAGAGTCCGGACATAGAGTTATGTCTATATTATGAGTATACAAAAAATATGCACAGTATATACAAGAATATATAATGTATATTTGTACATAATATGTACATGCATATTATATATATATACTTACAGTCCGAACGTAATTATATATTTGGACTCTGCATGTAATAATTTTTCCTACTTATGCACCAGCACAACAAATCGCTGTTACTGTCACAAAATAATAATGACTTCCTCAACTGTGTTTAAGAACAATTTTTATGTGCGTTTCATTGCACCTTGCAAAATATACACCATACAAGGTTTGAACAAGAACAGTCAAACAAGAATGCTGATGAAATATGAACTCCTTACTCTGGTTTACAATGGAACTTTGTCCTACCTGCTACTTATATTACTACATTACGCGGATAGGAGGTTGAGCTACCAAAGAGAGAGATACAAAAGTGCCAGCCACCTAGCCTCTCTCTCTCTATCTGATTTTGTCTTTTCTATTCAAGTTTCCAACAAAGTCCTATATGGGGTCCTGATTGGGTACTCATACTTTACTCGGACGGGCTTTGCCCACCCACGTCCACCCATGTTGACTTTCGGGATGTTGTATCCACCTATATCACTTGCTTTCCATTTTTTTTTGAACGCAGCCTGCCATAGACTGATGGCCTTGAGGCTTGTTGCCATTTGTTCTGATTGCAAACTTTCAAGCCGAATATCAGAATTTATTGTAGTCGCAATATAAGATATATGGTGATTATCAATATAAATCGATTTATCCCTCAATGTTGAGTACCCACCCATACCCACTCACAAGATCATGGGCATACTCATATCCACCCTTATCCATTGAATATGAATGGGTACATGAATAGGTGTGAGTATGAGCAGGACTCTGATTTCAAATAAAATAGAGACACTATCTCACCACAAGATAGTCACCCACCAAAGCAACTTCCTCTAAGTCCCAGCTCACGTATAAATACCAGTCGCAGTATCCACTCTCTCCATCACCAGAAGCAAAATGGCTTGCAATACTACTTTGGTCTTCACATTGTCTCTTCTCCTCGCCCTCGTCTTCTCTAACAAGTACTCACCATGCTACCTCAACTCTTTCAATGGCTCTCCCTTGATGAAAAAGGCACACCACTGAAATCTCTCATATGTAGTATGAAGTGAAAAGTGTTAATAATCACATATTCAAACTTTGTGATTAATTTATAAAAAAATGTGGTTAAAAATATTACTTTTATTCATCTATATATATAGGACATAAAACTTAATATTTAAATAGATTGATTATATTGCAAATTTGGGGCAATGGCATAAGTTATACATTGGTGAACATTTAAGTCATTTTCTTAAAATTAAATTAAAAAGCAATTAGTATAAGATTATAATCGTTTTGCCTATGTTAGAAGATAATTTTTGTATCTTATGAAAATAATTATATTTAAACTATATTGATTGTGCTCTTATAAAATCTGTAGCTAAAAAATGCCATATTACTCAAAGCTAACAAGTAAGAATAATTACTACATTTTAGAAAATTTGTGATGATAGAGATTCAATTCTAAAGTCTTAACTTTTTCAGGAACAGGAAGATCCATGAAAAAGATCCAACACGCACAGTTGATTAAAAAAATGCAAAAGAAAATAGAATTTTTATGCGAAAATTCGAAATGAAAAAGAAAAAAAAAATCACGAGCGTTGGACCAAATGAAGTGATCCAATATATAAATAGGTTATAAGAGTATTCTTTCCATTTCATTAAAAATTTGTTGGAATCAATTTTCCGATGATTTTGACATCTGAAAGTTTTTAAATATTGCATCAATATTTATGCTGATGAAAGTGATTTTCTTTAACGAATATCAGCAATCTATAGGAACCCAAGTCTTTGACCCCGACTACTAAAATATTTGATCTATTGAACGCACGATAGTTAGGTTAGGTTTAGGTATGGGTTAAGGCCAATATTAGATAAAGCATTGGATAATTCATAATTTAGTCATCAATTAAGGCCGTCCAGATGTTCATCAAATTTGCGTTTACAAGCTATTCTGAGAATTTTATTTATATACTTTTTTTACTACCTAACTTAGGCCTAATTTGATCGGATATTTTTTGTGATTTTTCTTTTTTTTAAATGATAAATTTATTTCTTCTTTGCTGTTTGGTCCCTCAAACCACGTTTTTTATAAGATCATTTTTTTTTATTTTTTTACTATTTTGAGAAAGCTTTTTATACATGCTTCTCCGTTAGAAAACTCTTTTATCTGAATTGATGTTTTTTAAAACTATCTTTTACAAAACTACTGGATAACGAAGCCTTAGGGAGAGATTAATCTATGTAGAGTCCGGATGTAGAGTTATATCCGGATTATGAGTGTTCATAATATGTACATATTGTATACAAAAATATATAATGTATATATATACACAGTATGTACATAATATATATTATAGTACGAACATAATTTAACGTCTAAACTCTGCGTGTAATAATCTTCCTACTTATGCCAGCAGCACAGCAAATCGCTGTTACTGTCACGTAATAATAATGACTTTATAAAGTGTGTTTAAGAACAATTTTTATGTGCGTTCCACTGCACCAGCTTGCAAAATATAAGCCTTACAAGGTTTGAACAAAAACAGTCAAACGAGAATGCTGATGAAATATGATATCCTTACTCTGTTAACAATGGAGATTTGTCCTACCTGCTACTTATATTACTACCATTACGAGGATAGGAGGTTGAGCTACCAAAGAGATACAACAGCGCCACCTAGCCTCTCTCTCTCTCTCTCTCTCTCTCTGTGATTTTGTCTTTTCTATTCAAGTTTCCAATAATATAGAGACGCTATCTCAACACAAGATAGTCACCAGGCCACCCAGCAACTTCCTCTAAGTCCCAGCTGATCAAGTATAAATACCAGTCGCAGTATCCACTCTCTCCATCACCAGAAGCAAAATGGCTTGCAATACTACTTTGGTCTTCACATTGTCTCTTCTCCTCGCCCTCGTCTTCTCTAACAAGTACTCACCATGCCACGCCGCTCGCCTTCTGCTACAAGTCACCGGGAATCCAGAACTCCTTCCTTTCCCTGAAATCCCAGCTTTTCCCAAGCCCGAATTGCCTCCGTTTCCCGAGCTTCCTCCCTTCCCTGAATTCCCCGCTTTCCCTCAACCCGAACTCCCCCCATTACCAGAATTCCCCACACTGACAAAACAGGGAGAGTCTGATTCGGCGAAGGTGGAAGAGCCGAAGCTGTTCGAGCCCGAGCTGCCTCCGTTGCCCGAGATCCCTCTTGACTTGCCGAAGCCCGAGCTTCCGCCATTGCCGGAGATCCCAGATGGCTTGTCGAAGCCTGAGCTTCCGCCATTGCCCGAGATCCCTCATGACCTGCCGAAGGTGGAGCTTCCGCCAGTGCCGGAGATTCCTCACTAATTCCCAGAAGAGCCAAAGCTGCAACCATAAACTTCTCACCATAGTCCTTGTCTTGCTTTGTAGTCGATTAATCAATTCTATCTTATATTAATATTGCTACCGAAATATTAATACGAATATAATGATGATTTTCATCCATAAATTTTTGGTGTTCTTTTTTATATTAATTAGTGGAGTGAAAGTCGGATGAACGCCTGATCAGTTATGAATTAGGATCCTATTTGGAATAAGTTTTTTCGTAATTATGTTTCTCGGATCTTAATTACAATTTTATTTAATATTTTTTTCATTATTTTTCAAAAAAAAAGTATTACTTTTTGTAACAAGAGTGGATAATATCTTACCACTTTTTAAAAAAAAGCTGTTTGACTTCCAAAAATAAAATATTTTTTATAACACTCACACACACAATAATTTATTTCTACCAAATAACTTTATAATCATCTTTATAAAATATTAATGTCATTCCAAACAGTTCTTAATCATAACTGATGGATCAAAATGAAAATTCAAAACAGATGATCAAATTATATATATAATTTTTGGAAAAATCAACCTACGTATTAATTAAAAAGAGAAGTTATAAGTCCTTGATAGATTCAAAAGCTTACTAAAAATATAATAATTAAAATAAAACCTATTAGCTAACAGATCTCACCTATTATAATCAAAACCAAAAGAAAGAAATAAAGAAACAACAAAAAAAATAATTTGGAGGCGGATGCAGCAGACGAGCCATCAAAGAACCTGCATCAAGGAACCTACAAGAAACCTGCAATAGGAGAAAGTAACAAAAACCACCAGGCGCCAAATTGAGCCAATTAGGAACCACCAGACAACCATCCTCAAAAGACAAAAGCCAAAGACCCAAAATAAACTTGAAAATAAGACAAACAGCCAGGGGTGTCAAAATTTGATCCGACCCGAACCCAAATCGAAAATTTCAGGTTCGGGTCAACTTGAACCCGAACCGGGTCAGGTTCGGGTTAGGGATTTCGACCCGTTTGTAAAACTTGGTCGGGTTGACCCGAAAACCCGAAATCAACCCGGTTTGACCCGTTTTTAATTAATTTAGGAGGATTTTAATGGATTTTTATGAAATAAGTAAATGATATTTCAAAAAATTATAAATATTATTGCCCAAATTAAATTGATCTTGATTTATTTTAAATTAATTGAAGTAAATCTTACCTTAATTTAATTTAGATTTAAATAAAATAATTTAATAAAATATACCTAAATCGGGTCGGGTTCGGGTTGATCCGGACCTGAAACGGGTCGGGTTCGAGTTCGGATAACCGAGACGTTTGCAAAAACGGGTCGGGTTGAATAGTGTTGGGTCAATTTCGGGTTGGACCCGAATCCAACCCGTGACCCGATTTTGACAGCCCTACAAACAACAACCCTCAACTTCATGAATAATTATTAGCTCCGGACACCTGACGTAGCTCTACATCCAGACGCCAATAACATGTCGCCACGTGCTCTTACTCTTTACTGCGCGGCCCGACGACCCGACCCAGACCGAAACCCGGTATTGCTATGTTCGGGTATTGCTAGGTATTGCTCGATATTGCTTGGCAATAACGAGAAATACCGCTCTGTCAAGACCAATACCTAGCAATACCGAGTAATACCTAGCAAAATCGGGTATTGCTTGGTATTGCTCAGTATTGGTCTTGACAGATTGATATTTCTCGTTATTGCCGACCAATACCGAGCAATACGTAGCAATACCTAGCAATACCCCGGTCTACACAAATCAGTCAATACATAGCAATATCGGGTCTGGGTCGTCGGGCCGCGCGGTAAAGAGTAAGAGCACGTGGCCACATGTTATTGACGTCCGGATATAGAGCTACGTCAGTTGTCCGGACTTAATTATTATTCCAACTTCACAAACCAACTCCACAGAGTCAGAAAAATAACACAAGGCATCAGCCAATACTGGCCCCGAACGAGGCAATAACCTTCATAATTTCATCTTAAAAATGAATTAATGGATTAGGGTATGCCTCAGCAACTAATTTCTTGGATGTAAATAATGTTGTTTATTTTTACTAAAATCCGTTAAAATATATTTAACAATGATTGATGCAAAATGTTATCATATATTTATCTGTTAAAAATTGTTTGGATTGATTGCATGAACCAATAGCCTAATTTATTCATTTATCGACTACTCAATCATCAAAAATATTATATGCGCTATTATTGCATGTATGCTTCATCAATAAGTAGAGAATAGATGGAGACATAAAATTTAAATTTACCTTTTAGCTCAATGAAGATTAACCTCGATATATTTTTATTTATATAAAAATAATAATCTTCATTAATTAGGGTTTGATTTTATTTTTACATAATATATTGTCTATCAAGATTACAATATTTTCTAATCTCTTTAAAAAATTAAGAAAGCTTTATCCCTTGACATTACTGATTCTACTTATATGAGAAGAGCTCGAGAAGTTCTTAAGAACTCCTCCAAATTTTCTAACACAACATTTAACGAATAGTATGTGAAAGAATATATAGTTAAATTGTTGGGTTATTGAATTTTTCCAATATCTAAATTTGATCTTAAGCTATAAGATTGAATTTTGTTAGAGAAATCTTAGGATGCTTGACTTCCTCAAATGGATCTCCTAAGAATCTTGGCCCTGCACAAACTGGAAGTTTTACTGTAGTCGCATCCGATCAAAATGACGTAACTTCCAATCCGTTTTGAAGGGAACGTCGTCCGTGGAGTGAAGTCGAACATCAACGTCATCGAAGGAGCAAAGTCCAACTGCGACAAAGGAGCTGAAGAAGCGACTCGTGCAATCTCCACACCTCAGAGCGTGTGGGCTCCTGCCTCCCGTCATTGCTTCCGATCAAAATGATGAAACTTCCGATCCGGTCTAAACTCTGAAGGAACGTCATCCGTGGAGTGAAGTCGAACAACAATGTCGTCGAAGGAGCGAAGTCCAACTGCAACGAAGGAGCCGAAGAAGCGACTCGTGCAATCTCTACACCTCCTTCACAGCATGTGAGCTCCCGCCTCCTGTTGTTGCTTTCGATCAAAATGATGAAACTTCCGATCCGGTCTGAAGGGAACGTCGTCCATGGAGTGAATTCGAACAACAATGTCCTCTAAGGAGCGAAGTCCAACTGCAACGAAGGAGCCGAAGAAGCGACTCGTGCAATCTCCACACCTCCTTCACAATGAGTGAGCTATCGCCTCCCGTCATTGCTTTCGATCAAAATAACGTAACTTCCAATCCGATCTGAAGGGAACGTCGTCCGTGGAGTAAAGTCGAACAACAACGTCGTCGGGACAACGAAGTCGAACTGCAACGAAGGAGTGAACATGCGGGACAATGAAGTCGAACATCAACTTAATTGGCGGGTCGGGTTCGAGTCAACCCCAACCCAAAGCAGGTCGGGTTCGGGTCCGAAAAATTGACCAGTTTGCAGAAACGGATCAGGTTCGGGTCAGGTTAAATAGTGCTGGGTCTGTTTCGAGTTCGACCCGAATCCGACCCGTGACCCGAAATTGACACCCCTACACCAGATCGTTGCTATGTATAATCCTATCAGATGTAAAGATTTTTTATAACTACAGAGCCATTATCCTTATGAAAAGCTTCAACGCACACAAATTTCTTAGAGTCAAGGGATGCAGATCCCTCAACAGGCCGGCCAACAACCACCGTTCTCGTTCAGTGAAAAAAAAAATCAATTGAAGCCAGTAAACTACTTAACAATCACTACGGGAAAATGACTCACCAGCGGCGAAATCTACGGGTAATGAGGGAAATTTGACGAAAATCCCTTTTATAGTCAAAGTTCCGATGAATCCACAAATGCCGGTAATTCGCGCGTCGGCAAAAAGATTCCAGCGGAATATTTTCACCGGAAATTTTACCGGCGCATGTTCCAACGCAATTCTGACGAAGAAAATGTGGGGAGTATGTCGTCTTTGTTGGACGGATTCCGACATTACATTCGTCGGTATTTCCGGCGTAATTTTGCGCCGGTAGTATTTGAACTATATATATTCGAGCAATCTGTAATCAAACTTCAATAGACTCAAAATATATTTCATATTTGGAATAAATTTTGAACTCCATTTATTATCATTTCAAATCTAATTTGAACAGAGATAAATTTGGACCAAGTTAACTATAAGTTATGCAGAGTTTTTTTTGTTTTACCAACCCTACCAAAGCTATCGTTCCAGCAAATTGTTGTAACATCCACACCATAATAATGAAATTTACGAGCTGTATTAAGTACAATTCTTATGTACGTTTCATTACTCATTGCAAAATATAAGCCATACAAGGTTTGAACAAGAACAGTCAAACAAGAATGCTGATGAAATATGAAATCCTTACTCTGTTTAACAATGGAACTTTGTCCTACCTGCTACTTATATTACTACCATTACGCGGATAGGAAGTTGAGCTACCAAAGAGAGATACAACAAGCCACCTAGCCTCTCTCTCTCCCTCTCTGTCTCTCTATCTGATTTTGTCTTTTCTATTCAAGTTTCCAACCAAATAGAGACAATTTCTCCTAACAACATAGCCACCCACCCAGCAACTTCCAAGTCCCAGCTCACTTATAAAAGCCAGTTGCAGTATCTCCTCTCTCCACACTAGAAGCAAAATGGCTTCCAACACTGCTCTTCTCTTCACATTCTCCCTTCTCCTCGCCCTCGTCTTCTCTAACAATTACTCACCGTGCCACGCCGCTCGCCTTCTGCTTGAAGACACCGAAGAGCCAGGACTCCCTCCTTTCCCAGAATTCCCGGATTTACCCAAACCAGAATTGCCACCGTTTCCCGAGCTTCCTCCCTTCCCTGAATTCCCCGCTTTCCCTAAACCCGAACTCCCTCCATTACCAGAATTCCCCACGCTGACAAAGCCGGGAGAATCTAATTCGGCCGAGGTGGAAGAGCCCAAGCTGCCCGTTCCAGAGCTGCCTCCATTGCCCGAGTTCCCTCATGACTTCCCCAAGCCTGAGCTTCCGCCATTGCCGGAGATACCTCATGACTTTCCCAAGCCCGAGCTTCCGCCATTGCCGGAGATTCCTCATGACTTGCCCAAGTTGGAGCTTCCGCCATTGCCTGAGATACC